GCCACCAAAATAATAATAATAATAATAACAACAACAACAACAACATTACTAATATCATTTTTAAAAACATGATTATTAAAAACTGTTGAAGATTTTCTTTTGCAGCTCATACCATCCTAACGGAATATCCCGGTAAGACTATACAGTCATATCACTGCATTTCAAAATCATGTAAAATGATTCTGTTGGTGTACATACACTGTTAAATTCATTGATTTCATTTTGCTATTGATTTTTAGGGATTGCTCTTATTTTTATTTTGCTTTTGTATTTTCCTAGTTATGTAAAGCATTTACATGGTTCCAAAATCCAAACCCATAAAACAAGATACAAGATACATTCAGAGCAAATAATCCAGCTTCTATTCCTGTCCTGTTCTCTACCAGGTTAACAGCTTTCATTGTTTTTTGTTTTAGCCTCTCTTTTTATTTATTTATTATATTGTTTATTTTAAAATTTTTATTATTAAAATAATAGTGTACTGTTATAACACAATCTTGTCTTATGTAATCATACATAAGATAATATATAACTGTAATAAAATAATGTGATTATTATATATTTTTTTTTACTATAAGGACATACATTAGATTAATGATCCTCTTTTTTAGATATAGTTTGCTTGGTTTTTTTGCTTCTTTTTGGCGGCTGGCCGGTACAGGGATCCAAACCCTTGACCCTGGTGTTACAAGGCTGTACTCTAACCAGCTGAGCTAACCGGCCAGCCCTCTTCTTTCCTAGGTAAAATGTAGTAAACCACATGCCCCCTTCTACACTTTTAGAAGCTCTAGGGATATTGGGATATCACCCTTTCCTGTGATCTAATGGTAAGAATTTTTCCGGGGGGGTGATAGCAGGACCCCGACCCCTGGTAGATGCTGGTACACCCCTGGTACATGGTGTTTTCCTGCAGTTGCCCTCTCGCCCTTGACAAAGCTGTCCTCTTTCCCTGACTCCTCAGGTTCATCTGTCGGTGAAGATGGCCTCCAGGGGCATCTCCCAGGAGACCTTCGACATGGTAGTGCGTGAGAACATCGAGGAGTTTGAAATGGGGCCGGAAGATGCAGTGAAAGAGGCCATAGAGCAGTTTGAATCACAAGGTAGGGCAGCGTGCCCTTACCTGCCATCCTCAGCTCTTAGATGTGAGAGTCATGGGAGGTCCCTGCTGGCCCCATCACACCTGGTATGGAAGCTGGGTGCCCTTGGGCCCTGTCCCCTCCCTGCTCTGCTCCTACTTCGCTCATGCCCCCCCTCCCCTTGCCTCCACCTCACCCAGACATTTATGAAACCAGATTCTTCTAGCAGGTCTCATTTTAATTGTCACTTCCTTGAGAGGCTTTTCCTGACCCTGGCCCAGGACATAGGGCCTCCTGACTTCCTGCTTGAGCTCAGGGTGGCAAGAGGGAGTGTCAGTCACCAGCCTGTGTAAGCAAGTGGCATGCCCAAACCAGGCCGTGGAGGAGAGTGGTTATGAGGGGGCTGTTTGCCATGGTGTGGGCAGGGTTTGGGGACACCAAGGGCCATGGCAGGGAGCAGGAGCTCTGGGCAAGGGTCACCTGGGAGGCACAGGGCCCTCAGGTAGAGGCAGGGAGCTGAGAACGAGCAACCTGCTCTCTTCTTCCTGCCCTCTGATCTCAGGCCCAGCTCTGTAGTGGACAAGCCCGGTCAAGCCAGAGGGCAAGGGAACTGGAGGTCCAGCCTCAGGGGTCAGAGGTCGGCCTTCTGAGCAGAGCGGGATGTAGACCCCAGACAGGGACTGGTGGGGTGACCAGAAGTGTCTGGCACAGTGAGGGCTTTCCATGGGGGTGCTGGGATGGCAAGGAGGCAGTGAGAGCTGGGAAGGACGAGAGCTCGGAGGGAGAAAGATGAGGGGACCCTCTTCTCAGTCCACCTTGTGCCACCTCAGCACAGAGACAGCGTGTGGCAGTGCAGCCTTGCTTAGCAGGGTCATGCTACTTCTTGACCCCCGTTGGCTGGCCCAGGCCAACAAGCAAAACCTCTGTGTGGATGTGGCAGCTGGGCCCGCTGGGGTGGGGAGCTGGGCATACCCCTGGAAAGCTTCCAGATGGGGGTGTCACAGCAGAAGGAACATAGGTGTAATTCTGGCAGGTCCGTGGGGATAACACCTGTCACCTGTTTTGTGACCCCACCCTCCCTCCCGCAGGGGTCGATCTGAGCAACATTGTAAAGATGGCACCTAAAGTCTCTGCAGATGGACACCAGGAGCCCACACACCAAGTGCTGCAGGTAGGACCAGGTGGCCCACAAGGCAGGTCCCATGCCACATCTTCCCTGTTTCCCGAATGGCAGAACGCAGGCTCTGAAGGCCAGCAGCCTGCCCAGTGTGCACAGGCAAGCTTGCACTTGCAGCCAGGTCTCGCTGAGTTCATGGCTGAGGGTGGCACTGCTTCTTGGGGGTCTGCCAAGCTCCATATGCACACATGGGCTAACATCATAGTGGATGGCCTGCTCTTGGTTGTGCCTGGTGCTGGAAGCCCAGGATTGAGGCCCCCACAGGAGAACCTCTCTGGCCTCCTAGAGAGCGATGAACAGGAATCACAGGAAAAAAGAGTGGGGTGATGGTAAGGATGTCATTTATTGAACACCAGCTGTGTACAGGCATGCTACAGTTGGTCCCCTTAGCATTTAAAGTCACCCCTGACTTAGTGATGGGGAAGTAGAGGCTGGGAGCCTGCACTCACCTCTCCAACGACCCAGAGGTTAAATGCCTTCCTTAAGGTCATCCCTTAAACAGTAAAACAGAGGAAGGGTCTAGTGTTTGTTGAAAACCCATTGTGGGGCAGTTCTGTGCAGAGTGCTTTCTTCCTGCTGTTTCAGTTATTCTCCTAAAAACACCTTCAAGGTTGTGGTTATTATCTCCATTTTATAAATGGGCAAATTGAAATCCAAAAAGAAAAAAATGACTCATCTGGAATCCAGAGGTTGTAGTGATTAGAAGAGGAGGTTGAGGGCCTGCCCGTGGCTCACTTGGGGGAGTGTGGTGCTGACAACACCAAGGCCACGGGCTCGGATCCCCTAATGGGTCATCTTTTTAAAAATAACTAAATAAAAAGAAGAGGAGGTTGGAGGAAACAGACCTGGGTGTGCACCCAGTGCTGCCTAAGGCAAAGCTTACTCCACCCTTGTCCTGTCATCTCCTGCCCTGCAGAAGTCTTATGAAAATTGCCCTTTTTTCTTTCCTTTGTTTGCTAGTAAGGATGATTGCAATTAAAATGAGTTTGTCCTGTGACTATTTTTATATTGAGTTTTTCACCTTATTGATTTGTAGATACCCTTTATATATGAATGATCTCAATAACAGTAGTCTCTAGCCGTTACTGCTTAAGTATTTATTTTTTTGGTTTTTTGGCAGCTGGCTGGTCTAGGAATCAAACCCTGGACCTTGTGTTGTCAGAACCACACTCTAACCAACTGAGCTAACCGGCCAGCTCTGTGTTTGTATTTAAGTGCTCAGGCTTGTGCTAAATTCTTTTTATTTTATTTTATTTTGTCGATATACAATGTGGTTGATTATTGTGGCCCATTACCGAAACCTCCCTCCCTCCTCCTCCTC